CCGGCTATTGTCACCTGAGGTGCCTTGTCAATCGCATCGAAAAGCTGCGTGAGCCGCTTATATTGTGCATCACTGACTTCGCTCGACTGTGCAACCGGCGAGGTCCCTTCTCCAAGGTCCATACCGGCACAGAAGTATTTTCCTTCGGCCGTGATGACTATTCGAGAAATTGTACGATCGTCTCGCGCGCTACGGAACACCTCTGTTAAATCGCCAATCATTGCGGTAGTCAAGGCGTTACCCTTCTTTGGCTGATTGAGAACCACTTTGAGATTGACTCCGAAGCGGTATATGCTGATGCTCTCTGTCTCACTGATCAACGTCCACGAGAGTCCAGGGTCAACTTCACTCTTGTGCTGTATCGTATATTTAGAATGAAGGAGGGCGCGTTTGGCCGTCAGAGCAATTCCAGCACGGCTTTCGTTTGGTTTCTTGAGCTGGTCTGAAATCCAATTCCCAACCTCCACAAGCTTCGGAAGATCAACACCCGTCTCAAGCCCAGCCTGCTGGAACAGGAACACTAGATCTTCAGTGGCAGCGTTTCCCTTCGCTCCGGGCGCAAACGGGCAGCCTCCCAATCCACCAACGCTGCTGTCGAATACTCGCAGACCGCACTGATAAGCTTGCCAGACGTTGCTAACAGCTTGGCCATATGTGTCGTGAAAATGCCCCGCAAGTTGGAACGCAGAAATCCCGTTATTCTCAAGGTACAAGAGCAAGCTCCTGACGTCCGCCGCTGTGCCAATGCCGAGTGTATCACCCAGACTGACTTCATAGCATCCCATATCCAACAGTTCGCGCACAGCTTTAAGTACAGCTGCCTGTGGAGTGGGCCCGTCGAATGGGTCTGCAAAGATACACGAGATATATCCCCTAACTGCCAGACCAGCAGCGGTTGCTTTCTCGGCCACTTGTCTCGCCCTTGCCAACCCCTCGTCAACAGTCGCATTGATGTTGGCTCGGCTGAATCCCTCACTGGCGCTCACAAACACCGCTACCTCTCGCACCGAGTTTTCCATGGCAATCTGCAACCCCTTCAGGTTGGGAATTAAGACTGGAAGTCGAAGATTGTCATCGGGTAACAGAGTCTTGATCGTTTGATCCGCGAGAACTTGTCGACAATCGGCTAACTGCGGGATAGCGCGCGGTGAGACAACGGACGTGATCTCTATCGTCTCCAGCCCCGTGTCGCGCAGGCGGGCGATGAGCTCTAGCTTCGTCGCCGTCGGGATAGTCGTCTTGATGTTTTGAAGCCCGTCGCGAGGTCCCACCTCGACGATGCGGACGTCCCTCCTCCTGCCACCGACGTGAGAAATGCCTCGAGCCATGCTTTTTGTAAATGTATTATTTCCGCCGAACGAGCTAGGAGACGTAGGGACAACCCTCCATCGTGACACGCTATAATATATCGAAGCCGACCGTTTGCAATGCCTGGCAAGCGAGGACGGGTGGCAGCGAGAAGACAAGAGCCAGAGACTCATTAGACGTTACCTATTGTACAAGTAACGTACATACGTTCACATCACCTTTCCGAGTTATTACTTTTCACCCGTGCAGAAGCCGAACGTGGGAGCATTGATTGACTGCGACCATGCCCCCGCCCCCTTGAAAGTCCGAGCCTAATTTTCTTTCGCTCCCCAAAAATAACCTCGGAGCCCTGCTTGCTCGGATTTCTGTGCACTGCCCGTTCGCGGAGTAGAGATTGTGTGGGCCCGGCAGTACTCGCCGCGGGTCCAAGACACGGCAAGACGGGCACGGGGTACCATAGTGCCTTGGTACTGCAGGTAGACAACGGCCCAGGTCCGTGCCAATCAAAGCCAGGTCGTGGAGTACAGGGCCGAGGCTCTCACCCCCTTGCAAATACCTACTACCTACTCCGTGCCTATGTAATACTACCCACTAAGTCTTTGTTTTGTCGTATACTATGTACTCCGTCTTGCTTACTACTACGTACCTGGTACTGTTTACTACAACCTTGGTTCGTACTTCATATTCCCAGGGTATGCACTGCGTACCACGGAGAAAGATACCCGACGTCAATGTCCAACTCCCCTGCCTATGTGTTGGGGTATGTTTGTATGTAACCCCCGTCTTACTCCCCCCGACCCAGGCTCGTCACCTCTTTTCTTCGTGTCTTAGTGCGGTTAGACCACTTACTCCATTCGACACTTCCAACACTTCTTGGTGCCAGGGCGGCTGATGGGCTTAAGTGAGATCGAGAACAAACGTCACTAACGCAACAGTAGGAGTTGTCCCCGTGCCATGCCATAGTGTACTTATTAGTTAGTGTACTCGTACAGTAAGCAGCTTTGGGGCATATGGTAATAGACGAACGTGGCCCCCGGGCACAGCGTGGCGACTCTGGAACGCCGTAGGAAGAACAAACGAGACGGAGCCGAGCCAGCTGTTCATGTATACCAGGACCGTCAATTCTATTCATCCGACACGCTATACACCGACGCTGATGTTGTCCACAATGACACTCACTGACTTACAGCTTAGCTCTCATCACTGCTGCTTTCTCCTCTAGCACTTTCTCTTCCGCCGCACCCTTGCCCATCTTGACAAGCCTCTCCGCAACATCCCTAAGGACATGTTTCATGATCTTCCCACTACCGGTCTTGGGAAACTCGTTTCCCACACCCTCGTCCCCGATCCAGAAAACGTACCTGGGCGCCTTATGGCTGCCCAAAGACTTGCGCACCCAGTTGTTGATTTCTTTCCAACTCGGCCTCATGAGCCGCGCCGTCCTGTTCTCCTCCTTGAGGTCCAGGTCGAGGCAGCCTGGTCGCGGATGCTCGCGGAGAAACGCGCCGACAACCTCGCCGTATCTCTCGTCTTTGATGGCGACGCAGCTGGCCTCGGCGACCGAGGGGTGATCGGCCAGGCGCGTTTCGATTTCGCTGGGGAAGATGTTTTCGCCGCCTAGTAAATGCCCCGAGCAGTCAGTAATTGTCATGCAAGACGCCATGGCAGAGAAGGGGGTAGGATCAAGAGTAAATGGGAGTGTTGGACCAGTAGCTTACCGCGAATGATAATATCCTTGATCCGCCCAGTCACAGAACAATAGCCATCTTCATCAATGACGCACTCATCACCAGTATACATCCACAGAATGCCATTCTCATCCCGCCTCATTGCTTCGTCCGTCTTTGCTAGATTATTGTAGTATCCTTTCTGCAGAGCATATCCACTCACACAGAGCTCGCCTCGCACGCCGCGCGGGGCTATATTCCCAGAACGGTCGACAATTTTCGCCATCGTATGTGGAAGCACTCTCCCAACCGTCTTGGTTCGTCTTTCTTCCGTGTCATCAAACGAAGTGATGAACGTTACTGGACTCGTCTCGGTCATGCCATATGGAATAAGCATTCCCTTGATCCCAAACTCTCGATCTAACTGCTTGACCAACGCCGGCGGAACCGATGAACCTGCAACGAGCCCTGTCTTAACCGACGAGATTTTGTATCGTTTTGCTTTATTAGCTTCAATTTCCGCGATAAACATGGTTGGCACACCGAGGAGCGCAGTGCATTTCTCCTCATACAGTGCATCGAGGACAGAGTCGGCATCGAACTGGTCGCATGGGAAGACAACTGTGGAGCCATGAGTGAAAGCCCCCAAGAAACCCATCACAAGGCCGAAACAGTGAAATAGTGGAGGTGGGCAACAGATGATGTCCGAGTGGTTCAACTTCATAGCCATTCCAACGAAGCGGGCGTTGTTGATCAGATTCCTGAATAGTTCGTTAGCAAGTGGTCTCAACCAGAGTAGGGGATTTGATTACTTGTGAGTTAGCATGGCTGCTTTCGGGACACCAGTGGTTCCTATTCAAGTCAGCGTTGGTTTACGACAACGCACAGGAGAGAGGTTGCCCCACCAGAAGTAAATTGAAGGTTCACAACATCGTCACATCGAATACGGCTCTCTGCTTGCTTCAACGTTGTCGTGTTGATTATCCTCCCTTCGGACACGAAAGATGAATATGTGCACAGCCTCAATGACTTGTGCGCTGCACTATCACCAGTCGACACGGATACGCAGGGTAATGTGCTCAGCTCCTTGGCCACCGCTTCGACATGCGTAGATAGGTCCTTCAGGCGAATCTTTGAGGCGACAAAAAGAAGTTTACAGGCTGCACTTCAAGTCAGACCAGTCTCGTGAAGAGTCAAGTAAGAAGGCTCACAAGTCACTTTCAGTGCAGAGACCAGCTCTTTCGGAGTATATGTATTGTTCAAGACAACGAAAGGGCAGCCAATCCGAGCGGCGGCGATGAAGGTCTCGAGGTACTGGTAGCAATTTCCAGCCATGATTGCAATGTTGTCTCCGTGTCTCAACCCTCTGGCCAACATCGACTTTGCGACTGCTTCGCTCCGGCTTGCGAGGTCATTGTACGAGAGTTTGTGACGTTGCCAGGAGAAGGTGGCTACCGTGTGGTCTCCGTATCGCGCAGCCTGCCGCTGCATAAATTCTCCCAATGTCTCTTCCAATAAAGGCGGCGTTCGTGGGCCTGAAACTAAAGAGGCTGCTGGCGACATTGTTGTTGTTGTTGTTATTGTTGGTTCTGTCGGACGGGTTGTAAGATCAATGCCTGCCATTATGTATTGTATGCGGCCTCGTAGAGTCCCGGTAATAGCCCTAGTGATGTTGCTGCAGACCCAGTATATGAGTGAGAACTGTCACGAAACTGGCAACTAAGAACGAAACCATAAAGAGGGAGTATTGTCAGCATCACGGTATTCACCATCCCCGTTGCGAGTCGATGTAGATGTGGAGCCGGTTCCGCCATGGCGGGCCGCCTTGCAGGGGTTGTGCTCGGTGACCGCCCCACCGTCCAACCCGGGGCAGCCTCGGCCTAACCGTCAATGTTTCCATGGATGTACCTCGTAATTCCGGTTCAACTGGCAGACTCTCCATATCACATTGAAACCCGAGGATCGTTTCACCAGGTATCGTTCTGTCTGGATCAACTACTCTCTACCTCAAACGCCTTTTTCGATATGTCGCAAACAGCTTGTTTCCCTGTGGTCGAGTCGCTTCTGGACGTGACGAGAGAGCCGTATGGATCAAATCGAGAAGCATGGAAGCCGGTAATGGAAGAGTTCTCCCAAAACCTAAGAAGGACGACGTCCGAAGGCAGTTCCCAGTCTACCGACAGACATGAGAAGAGGGGACAATTGCTGGCAAGAGACAGGATATCCCTGCTGTTAGACGCCGACTCGTCATTTCTTGAATTGGGCTCTTTTACCGGGTTCGACTTGGAGGACTCGAGCCCCTGCGCCAGTCTCTTGGCTGGCATTGGAAGCATCAGCGGCCGGATCTGCCTCGTTCTCGCACACATCGCAACACAGAGCGGCGGCGCGTGGAACGAGTTAACGGTGATCAAACAAAACAGAGTGACGGAAATCGCCAACGAGAACGACCTACCACTCGTCGCCCTTGTGCAGTCAGCAGGAGTCTTTCTTCCTCAGCAGTTTCGCGTTTTCCACAAGGGCGGACAGATTTTCCGTGATCTCGCTTTGCGAACTCAGAATCAACAGGCTTCCTGTGCAATTGTTTTCGGCTCTTCTACAGCAGGCGGCGCGTACCATCCTGGGCTCTCAGATTATACCATCTTTGTGGAAAATCAAGCGCAGGTATTTCTCGCGGGTCCCCCTCTAGTTAAAATGGCTACCGGCGAAAATATCGACGCGGAGCAGCTGGGAGGGGCTCGAGTTCACGGAACTGTTACCGGCCTTGCGGATCAAATTGCTTTTGACGAATTTGATGCGGTCCGGAAGGCTCGTGAATGGGTCAGCACACTATCCGCCCGGAGTCGACCAATGCAGCCAATGCGTCCTCCGCTTGCTCCGCGTTATCCGATCGAGGACATATTTTCCATCGTCAATCCCGACGTCCGGAAACCTTTTGATATGAAAGAGGTGGTTCTTCGGTTGGTCGACGATTCACGCTTAGCCATGTTCAAGCCAGAATATGGCAGTAATCTGTTGACAGGATGGGCCAACATCATGGGTAAGTGCTGCGCTGGTCTTCCCAACGGAAACACGTGCTGACTTGGGGTAGGCATGCTTGTTGGGTTGATCGCCAATCAGACGCCCATCATCAACCCAGATGAAGCATCGAAAGGAACGCAATTCATTCGCATGTGTAACCAACAAAACACCCCAATTATCTTCCTGCACAACGTAACGGGCTTTATGGTCGGCTCGAAGGCTGAGCATGCAGGCATCATCAAAAAGGGGGCGCAATTTGTATCTGCGGTTAGTTGTTCAAAGGTTCCGCATATTTCCATCATCTTGGGGGCATCATATGGAGCAGGTAATTATGCCATGTGTGGAAGGTCATATCGGCCTCGCTTCCTGTTCACCTGGCCAACTGGACGGTGCAGCGTAATGGGACCTGAGCAGCTGTCTGGAGTTATGGCTCAGGTTGAAGCCAACAGTGCCCGGAGCAAGGGAGTCGTGCTCAAGCCCGAGGAAGTGGAAGCCAGAGTGCAGCGTCTGCAAAAGGAGGTCCAAAGGGATAGCAGCGCGTATCGGACGAGCGCGTACATGCTTGATGATGGAGTGATTGACCCCCGAGATACTCGTGACGTGCTTGCAATGTGTTTAGAAGTTGTACAAACACCACCAGTGCAAGGAAGTGCAGGACACCGAGCGTTGGCCAGGATATGATATGGAAAATGAGAATGGACATGGGAGAAAGGATAAATGTGAAGCGAAGTCGAGTGCGGAGCTCTCCATAAAAATCGGGCTGTCTGACACGCGCTTTTTCGTGTGCAGCAATGTCCTCATATGCTTCATCCCGCTATACGGGGGGATTTATGTCTGTCAGACACAGTATTTATAGGCCATGACATGTCATTTCCAGACACGAGTTCTTCTCGCTTACCTTGGCTGGACTTCCCACCTACTTTCTTTCTACATCAGCCCCTCTGGAGATGCCGCTACTTTTCGTACATCTAGTCTTTGAGCTTTTCGTATCCATCATTCATCATGGACGACAGCCGCTACGCTAAAAGAGCACGCCAAGCGTGTCTCAACTGCAGGAGGTGAGTTGGTCCTGTTGGAACCGACCCGCAATCTTCGGGCAATGTGTTTGATATGGTGTCTCGAGCATCCGTCAACACGAACTAACGATGATTGGCAGGAAGAAGACGCGCTGTTCTGGGCACAAGCCAGTGTGCGCCTTCTGTGCCCGGCTCAACCAACGCTGTACCTGGGATGGCGATGCAGATGTCTCGCCTGAACCACTGGCCGAAACGGGCCGAGCTCCATCCTCCTCAGGTATAGCCGCGCATAACGCGAGTCTTGCTGCAAGAGTCGCTTTGCTCGAGTCTCGGCTGAGCTTTCTGGACGCGGACAATGCTTTCAGCTTATTCACCTCCGTGTCGCCACAAACAACAATCAATCAGCCGGTGGACCAGTATCCCAATGTCGACGAACTTGCACGGACGAACCGCGATTTCTCATCTCTTCCAGATGCGTCAGTCTTCCGTTCCCTTGTCGAAGTCTATTTTCAACGTTGTCACAACCAGCCTTACGCTTTTTTCCACGAAGAGATGTTTCGCCATGATTATGAAGCCGGATTGTTGCCCGAATACTTACTGTACGCTTTTGCTGCTGCTGCCTGCCGCTTCTCCGACCACGACCTCTATCAGCAGCGTCGTGCTGAAGCGATTGATGCCTATGCCCAGTCATCCTTTGCGCAGATATTCGAGCATTCATTCTCAGTCTCGGACAGTTTAGAGCCGTGGATGGCGGTGGCCCTCTCCATGTTGGCCGTGGTGGACTTCGCAGGTGAGTTTGACCAAAAACTTTTTTTTCTAACCATGCAAATATTGACTCATCATCAAGCCGGACGTCCAAAAATTGGTTGGGTGAAACTAGCTCTTTCGTGTCGCTTTGCACAGGCCTTGCGGCTTAACGAAGAACCTGATCAACAACTTCCCGTCCACGAACAAGAAGAGCGGCGTCGAATATTCTGGTCGATCTATCTCCTCGATATTCTGATGTCAGTCGGCCCCAACCGACCTCCTTCGCTTCTTGATGAGGACTGCACTGTCCATCTACCCTGCGATGAGGGCCTTTTCCGGGATGGACTTAGTGGCGGCCCTGTGCCAACTTTGACCGCTGTCGTGGACAATCCATCAGGTTCCAATTACCAGAACCTAGATCCCTTCGCCATGACTATAATCATGGCCTCGGCGTTGGGCCGCTTCATACGATTTAGCCTGAAGCGTACGTTGAATACGACACATGTCCTTTGGGATCCACGGTCCAAGTATTACGAGGTACAGAGCATTTTGCTATATTACGAAAGCCACTCACTATGTGCCTTCTCTTCAATCGCTGAAGCGCTAAATCGACATCATTCATTTAACGAATCAGTGTCACCGTCACGAATCAGTCACATCATCTACTCTCACGCCCTCTACCACCTCAACAATTGTCTTCTCAACCATCCATTCATATTGTATCGCTTTTTCCAGACATATACCGTACCTGTCCCTCTAAGCTTTGTGCAAGAGGCACTGCAACGATGCCGCAAACACGCGACAAATCTCCTTGAGCTGCTTGATGATCTGGAAACCTATGGGCCCCTCAGTCATCCTAGCTTTTATGGCTACTGTGCAATGGCTGCGGGAGTGGTCCATAGCATATACGAGAAAAGCGATGACGCTGAAATTGCAGAGACTTCGAGGAAACACCTCCAGGCCGCATTGAGTTTTCTACAACGTGAACCAGTGCGTTGGGGTCATGTGGGCCACATGGTAAGTAATCAGTCCCTCCCCCTCCTGTGCATCCATTATCTTGGCTGCTGTCCGGCATACTGCTCCGTGACAGTCGCAATGATAAAATAGCCCAACGAATGTGCACTGATTTTGAGTTTCGAGGGAACTCTCCTCCGGTCGTTCAAGTTGGATCCAGGGGCGGCAAGAATCCTGACAAATCCTGTGAGCCTGGCGCAGAAAGTACCTGTACCGCTCGGGAACGTTTTATGGCAGCTTCTTGATTACGCTTGGTTACCTCAAAACATGCGTCCTGGTGAGATTAGATCTTCTCTGTCAGATCTACTGCCTGGAATAGATCATTTCCTGCCGAACACGACCGAGTCTTCGGCTTCAGACAGCACAAATCTTCCAACGAGTCAATTTAACGCAAGTGGTGTACTGCCTTCAACTTATGCTCGAATGCTGGGAGAAGATATGGGTGGTATTTTGTCCGAAACGATGGGAGACGGTGGCTCGCGAGGGTTTGCACGACCGACGTTTCCCAACGGATCGTCGGCTGCTTTTTGATGCCTCATGAGTCTTCAGGTGAGTTTCCCTCCCTTTCTTCTCCCCCGGCACACATTCTTGGTTGAAGTCGGTTGTGAGCTTCAATATCTCAGGGCCATCTTCAAGAAAGGTGCAGCTCTTGGGCCAACGGCTACACTGACGTTATTGTGAGTACACTGACAAGTTGCTTTAGTTCTACATCTTAGCGATCATGCGTCTTCTGACCTGCCCCTGTTGATAATTCCCACCTTCTCCAAATCGTCCGGCAATCGAAGTCACAATTTGCTTGACGGACGAGACAACCGTTGTAATTCTTTTGTCTCCAGCTTGACAGCAAGGTCGCTCAATATCTCGTCGCTGCCTCCGCCCACCACCATAACCCGAACATCTCGACTAATCTGCTCGATTCTAGCACCCTTACCGGTCCTTGAATACCCTGCTCCGCCCATTATCTGCTGCGCATCCCGGTTGACGCGCTCCAGCACTCGCCCCGCGCTGGTCTTTAGAGTGGCGATCATCCCTCCAAGGTTGAGGTCTCTCTCAGATGTGGCCGTGGCTGATGCCAGTATGCGGCCACCTCCGTTGCGACTTTGAGCCTTTCTCCTTCGTTCATGTTCGGTCAAGTACACAATTGACTCCAGATATGCATATGCTGGTTCGACGTCACGGGCAAAATCTGCGAATTTAGCCGAGATCACCTGGTTCGCAATCAGGGGCTTGCCGAAAGTTTCTCTTCTGAGCGCATGGGCATAAGCATCTTCGATGCAAACTCGCGCCATGCGAATGGATGTACATGCCAGCCAGAGTCGTTCATGGTTGAAATTCGACATGATGATATCGAAACCTCGATTCTCCTTGCCAAGAAGATTCGACACCGGAACCGCGACATCGTCAAACTCGATGTATGTGGAACCGCTGGCGTTGACGCCCGAATTTTCGATCTTGCTGCATTTCACACCGGCCGAATTGAGCGGTATTATTAGAGCAGATACTCCCGCGCGGCCTGGTCCGCCTGTGCGTACCGCGGCGGTGCAGTAGTCGGCGAATATGGCGTTTGTGATCCACTTCTTCGCTCCGTTTACAATATACACATCTCCGCGACGCTCCGCCGTCGTTGTGATGCCCGCCACGTCGGATCCGGCTACGTGCGAGTTAGCAAGTGGACGCTCAATCATTGGGGCACACTGGGGGAATTGGGGGAAGAATACCATCGGGCTCCGTCACACCAAGACAAAACCGCGACCTGCCCGCAATCACGTCTGGCAAGAACCTCGCCTTCTGTTCATCGTTCCCAAAATTTATCAAAGGCGGAGCGCCGATCGAATTTCCGCAACTCAATGCCCATATAACGCCCAAGTAGCCACACCTGGCAATCTCGTCGATCACGATCAAATCGTGGAACCCATCCCACTCTTCCGGGTCGACGTCTCCAGGCAGTCTCTGACCCAGGGCTTTTATTTGCGCAACGGCAAGCGGGTACATCGAGACGGCCATGTATCCCAACCGCGCGTGGTTGAGGATGACTTCCTTGGGCACGGAACCCCGTCGCTCCCAGTCCTCGCAGAACGGAGTGATATGCGTGGCGACGTATTCGCGCGCTTCGGCCTGGAGGCGCCGGTGGCTCGCAGTGTAGTATGGGCTGATGTCGCGCGAGAGCCAGGGCGGGTCTGCATAGGGTGCTGGGGACATGGAAGGAGCCATTGTGGAAGATTCAGTGTGGAATGGTCCAAAGTTCAACGTCCAAAGTTCAGACACTGGTAACTGGTAGTTGTCTGTGAAATGTTCCGAATGACTCAGTCGCTTAGTATCAATCCTGTTTTTGTTCCAACCTCTGCCTCTGCCTTTACCTTTGCTATGGCGAGGAATACAAATAGGGCCTGATTCTTTTTCTGGAACCCAATCCGAAATGCAGTAGTCGGTCAATCACTCTTAAGTGCCCCCGCCCCGTCCCAAGGAAATCGCTCGGGCCTCGAACCCGGGCGGGCAGTGGGTACCTCCATCCATCCTGGGGCGCGGGCCTCGTAATCCACATACCCGCTGCGGGAAAATGGGAACTCGCTTTTGCCTTTCTCGTAAGCCGAGGCGGAGCTCGCGGAGCGGGGGGTGTTACGAGGTAGTCTGTGAGTATGTAGGTAGTGTGTAGTACTCGATACATTCCGAGATAACGACTTGTTCGTAATTTAGCGACTGGGTAGGACGTCCCTCCGTCCGTCTTACTACGCATGATGCGAGGAAGGGTATTCGATATTACGGTCCATGCACCTACCTACATAGGTAACTAGGTATGTAGGTAATTGCTTATGCCCGCTCTTCTGTCTTACACGCCCTCAGTGCGAAGGCACCCCGTGTCGAGGTTTGCGAGGTGTGGCTGCGGGACCGTGGAGCAATGGGCCGGGTGAGAATTGTCCGATTTTCCGGTGCCATGGCTGTGGCAGGCCCGCGGGCGGGCCGGGTTCATAGTTGACTAGTGTCTGTGTACTGTACTTGTACGTCCTTGGACGAGTACGGCAGCGTGCGCAACTCCTCAACCTGGCTGGCTGGCTAGGGAGTGAGCCTTGCAGTGGAGGAGGAATAGGCACAGTCTGACACCGATGGCGAGGCCATAACTTGTTGGATAGTTGGACACGCAGAGAGCGAGAGAGAGTTTGCACTCTCCGCTTTGGGTGGCTTGCGAGGCCGACATCTAGTCTAGGATACATAGGTTTTATTGAGTGATGACAGGATTATCTATGCACATCGCAATATCGAGCTCTTGACATATAAGATCTCGATATACTCCGTACATACTGTATCTATTGTGTGATTATGCCTCTATTCAACCCAGCACAGCACGCCCCCATCATCTACCGCAGCCCCATTCTTGACTCCTGTCATGAACTTCCCGTCTATATTGACGCAGATATTCGTCTCCATCTTCATACTTTCAATGACCATGACAATCTCCCCCGCTTTGACTTGATCCCCGTTGGACTTGAGCACCGAGAGGACTTTGCAAGGCATGGGGGATTTGACCACCTTCGAATTTGATGAGGCCGAAGAGCGGCCACCGCCGGCTGATCGTAGACTTTCTATATAATTGAGGATGCTGTAGCATTTATATTCCACCCAGGTCCCCAATCCTCGGAAATGGCATAGAACGGTCTGATAGGATCCAGTGGATGTTGCGGGGTTCAAAGGTGTATCGGTGGCGATGTGGGCGTGAATGATGGATTGGTTGATCGATATGGCTACTGACGCTGTTCTCCATCCGTTGCGGACCGTGGTATCCTCCAAGTCTCTCCATTTGGTAAATTCCACAGTGTACTGTGGAGCTTTGGCTAGAGATGGATCTCTAAGTTTGTGGCTGATGTCGTGATATTGTCGAGATATTTGGTACACTTCGGGACTGCGAGTTGTTGTGTCGGGGACACTGTCGGTCTCGGCTGTTGGAATGGGGAGTAAAGTGGCCCGGTATTCCGAACGGCCGCTATCGGCGCGAGAATGGGCATTCCAGATTGACAATATCGGTTCTTGCGTGGATGAGGGATCTGAAGGAACAATCACGGTTGTGTTGCGATTGACCGGGTCAAAGTATTGATTCCTGAAGCCTCGAGTGACGTGCTTGAAAGGTCTAGCATCGGTGGGCTGAGATGCTAAATTCCTCAACACGAGGCCTGGGAGAAGGGACAGCATAGAGATCATGTTTTGAGCAGATTCCGTGTAGGGATTCTTCAGCAGGTTTTCCACATGCGTGGGAATCAGCGACGTCGTGTATGCCCGATCATGAAAGCTTTTGTGTAAAAGGCAGGCCTGAAGGAAAAGCTGATTTGTTTTCACGCCGGCACATACTGTATTTGCCAAAACCTTAACCATTTTCGAGATTGCCATGGCTCTTGTTGGTGCCCATACCACGATTTTGGCGATCATTGAGTCAAAGTAAATAGATATGCTGGACCCAGTCTGTACAGCGGTCTCGTATCGTACGTCTCTTGACGCTAGATACTGGTCTGACTCTCGCCACAATTGAATGGTGCCATTTTGTGGCATGAAATCACTGCTAGGATCTTCGGCGCATAGGCGGCACTCGATGGCATGGCCCTTTTGTGGAATATGTTGGAGGTTGGCGAGACTGGAAAGCGATCCGCCAGCAGCCACAAACAACTGCAATGAAACAATATCAAGGCCTGTAACTTTCTCTGTGATGGGGTGTTCGACTTGGAGACGCGTGTTAACTTCGAGGAAATAGAAACTGCCATCTCTGACGTCCACGACGAACTCAACAGTCCCTGCACCTTCGTAGCCAATGAGCTCGCCTATTTGAACAGCAACAGCGCACATTCTTTGCCTCTGTTCTGGAGTTAAAAAAGGGGATGGTGTCTCCTCGATAATCTTCTGGTGCCGTCGCTGAACAGAGCACTCTCTCTCCCACAACGAGAGGACTTTGCCATGGCTGTCACCAAGGATCTGAACTTCAACATGTTTGGCAGCCTCGATGTACTTCTCCAGAATGCAGTCGCTTGACCCAAAAGAGCGTTGAGCCTCGGATTGTGCGCGGGCAAGCTCGCCCGCAAGTTGTGAGCGCTCTCGAACGATTCGCATCCCGCGACCTCCGCCTCCAGCAGACGCTTTCAGCATCACCGGAAATCCTACTTTTTCAGCTGCGTTTTCCAACTCTCTAACATTTTGGCTTGAGCCGGTAAATCCTGGGATAAGGGGAACCTTGGGCGCATGTTTCCTCAAATAGTCCTTTGAATTCCGCTTGTCGCCTAGCGTTGACATGGCCTGGGAGCTTGGTCCGATGAATATCAGTCCTGCTTGACGTACAGCCTCCGCAAAATCTTTGTTTTCGCTAAGATAACCATAGCCCGGGTGTATGGCATCGGCACCCCTCGTGCGAGCAACATCAACAAGAAGCTGGATATTCAAGAATGGGTTTCCCCCGGCCTGATTGATGCTTCCCAGATCAACTGCCTCATCTGCTTCAGCAACATGACGCGAAGACAAGTCCTCTTGTGCATAGACGGCGATGGAGGTTAGATCAAGTTTCCGACATGTTGCGATGATTCGACATGCAATTTCACCTCTGTTTGCGATCAGCACCCTCTGAATCTGCCTTCTGTCATGGCTGCTGGATGGTAGCTGCGCGACGAAGTGAGGAGGTCGTTGCAAAGTCGCAGAAGTTTGACCTGGGTCAGGCTGGTTATCCTGGTATTGCCTCATTCTGAAGAGCTGGTGGCTGAAGATCGTGTGAAAGGTTGGTTCAACCACGCCTAGGATAAGTCGCGCATTATGACCAATTTGGAGGAGAATTAATGCAGTGGTTAGGCTCCATTTCTCCCTGGACACGATCTCACTCTCTATCCCTGGAGGCAGCTCGAGCAGAATTCGGCCAGATACCAAGCCGAGGCAACCGGGATGCCGTCCCCTAGTCGGCGGACAAGGCGGCCCGCGTGACAAGGGTCGCTTGATCTGACGCTTGCATGTTTGACTAAGGTCCCATTCACTGACGACAGCGAACAATGCATGGAAGTCTGGAGAGAACGGTCCTTTGTATGTCTGAGGCGAAGTTGCAGCAACACATCAAGACTGGTTCAGACGGACGACTCGACTGTATCTGAGATCAAGGCAAATGCGGCTTCTGATCGAAATGCTCCGCCGAAGAGATATCACGTGATTGCCAAGACACCCTAGCCTTAATGGGCGTTTGTATTGAATCTCGAGTTTCTCGAGTCTTTTTTCCGGAGGGCTTGTTGAACAAAACCCATCCGGCAATCGACAAAGCATCTCCACTAAAGTCACTATCTGGGGAACCAAAAAACTCCAATCCGTAGCTAGCGAAAACAGCCCTCGTTAGATACGAAATTCGCCAACCAAAAATATCCAGGACGCTAAGATGTCTCTAACCTCCGTCATCGACCCGGAAAATGCCCCAAACTATGAGGACATGGAGAAACAGTTCGCTGTGAGAGCGGTGCAACATATGACTGTCTATTGGAATATCCTCGAAAAGTTACCCGGTTCAAAACTACGCCTGACTCGGCTCGATGACGACATTCTTGAGCACTTCAAGCGCGAATTTCCGGACTTCGACCCTGCTCAAGAGATCGATGAGGACGCCATGAAAAGTAAAGAGGGCAAAGAGAAGTGGCGCAATTTTGCGATGGTCTATGAAAAGGGCGAGAAGAAGATCGATGACTACAATTTCGGCACCATGCTAAGGAAAAGCCCGAAAACCGAGTATGGCGAAAAGGAAGCAATATTCGTCATTCGAGTGCAGTTCTACGCAATCGAAATTGCTAGAAACAGAGCTGGGCTCAACGACTGGATTTATGAAAATGCCCAGAAGCAGCAGACGAAATCATGAACAGGGAGATTGGCGTGCCGACCGCAACTTGAACCGCAACAACAATACTGAGCCATTCATAACAACATGAGACCGTGCCGGAATCTTTGCTTTCATGCGCGCCGAAGCTCAAAGGTTTCACTGTGAAGGGCGTCTTGGGAACCCCTTCGCATTCCAGAAGAACAATACTAAGGTGTGCCATCAACGGCCTTGGCACCCAACATTTCAAGTCGAGGAATGAACATTGTTTTCAATGATGACTTTGCATGGTTTAAGTTGTTGAATCTTGGTATCTAGTTTCCACTGCAATCGATTCGCACCATTGAAGCCTTGGTCCAGTCGATCATGTCTAGTCAAGCCTCTGCCGTTGCGATATGACCACAAGTGCACAAGATGAGCATCAAACTGAATCTAACGAAGCGCAACAGAAACATGGCGTCCTTGGCCGTTGGAAAAGCGTTTTCACGTTCACAGCAAAGGCACACCTGCCCATTCTATTGGGAGCCATTATCTTCTCAGCCGCAGCAGGATGCTTGCAACCAACAATGGCGTTCTTCTTCGGGAAATTTTTCGACACCTTCTCGGATTTTGCTGCAGGAAAAACTGACGGTTCAACGTTTATGGAGCGTTCTCTAAGCAGTCTCTATGTGCTCTTCGGCATTGGAGGCGCTACGTTTGTTTTGAAGGGCACCCTTTTTAGCCTTTGGTTGGTGTTCGGCGAGATGCAAGCAAGGAGCATCCGCGAGTTGCTTTTCCAGTCTCTGCTCGATCGTGGGATGGAATGGTACGAGGCTCGAACAACAGGAGTAGGAACACTCTTAAGCAGAGTCCGAAGGTACGGCGTGCCGACCTGAATGGCCATCTTTCTAATAATACCAGACAGATCAGAGAACTGCAGCTAGGAGCGTCGCAACCTCTCGGCTTTATAATTGTGTGTCTCGTTCAAGCAGTGGCTGGGCTTGGTCTCGCAATACACACAAACTGGAAGTTAACTTTGGTCGTGCTCTCAGCTATACCTGTCATCGCTATTGGGAGCACCCTCATTGCTCGACGTGTACAAGCGAACATAGACCACCAGAACGCAAAATTGACAACTGCCACCAAGACGGCCAATAACTGTGTCACTAACATTGTGACCGTGAAGTGTTTCAACACTCAGGACCAAGAAGGAAACAACTATTCTGCAGCGGTCAAGGAAGCTGGTGTATTCTCTTTGAAGCAGGCTCTCTCCAGTTCCTTGCAGACTGGGTTCGTGCGTTTCGCCACAACCGCAATGTTCGTTCAGGGCAAGTTTCTCACGCCTGACCATAGAATGACTCTCATAAATGTATGCAGGGTTCTGGTATGGTGGTACGCAAGTCCATTCTGGTACAACGAGCGCCGGGAAAGTGGTCACGACATTTTGGGCCTGTCTGATAGCTACGAAAGCGTTTGAGGACATGTTGCCACACTGCATTGTTCTTCAGCGGAGCCAGTCGTCGGCTGTAGCATTGAAGGCGGTTATGGACAAAGTGATGAATGGGAAGACACACTCGCGAAAGGTAGATGGATTGTCACCGCAATATTGTGAAGGCGACATCGAAATCCAAGGGGTATGTGCTCAAATATACTTTGCAAGCCAACTATCTGACTTTTTGAGAAGGTTTCCTTTGCTTACCCTTCAAGACCTGACTCTCTTGTGCTGGATCGTTGCACATTTTATTTTCCGGCGGGAGAGACTACATTCATCGTGGGCAGGAGCGGTTGTGGGAAGAGCACACTCAGCCATATATTGATGAGATTCTATGATCCCAGGAGTGGAGCTATCTTCATCGACGATAATGCTCTACAAGATATTGACACAAACTGGCTCAGAAACAATATCACTCTAGTCCAACAGAAGTGCGTGCTATTCAGCGACACGATCTTCAGAAATATTGCACTTGGTCGCCGTGACTTCGATCGAGTTACGGAGGCTCAGGTGAACGAATGCATGAGGATGGCAGCTTTGGAACGGACCATTGAGCTGCTCCCCGAAGGTGTACATACTAGAGTTGGGACAGGCGGTTCATCTCTCTCTGGAGGCCAAAAGCAGCGTATTGCTATTGCACGAGCTCGTCTGAGAAACACACCGATATTGATACTGGACGAGGCAACAAGTGCACTCGACAACTCAAGCAAATCAACCGTCATGAGATCTATACGAGAGTGGCGACGTGGAAAGACGACCGTTGTAATTACACATGATATGACCCAGATACAAGACGACGATTTTGTCTACGTCCTCGACAGAGGTCGGGTCATTCAGGAGGGCCGGCTTGGGAGCCTTGTTGATTTCCAAAATCCCGCCATGGACCAGCAAGCCTACGCAAAAAGACCGACAATCAAACACCTGAATTGTTCTGACGACCCCGCCCACTCCTTATCACGATGTGGCATTGGGGACCCGGCACAACCAGCAATCCCTTTTTCATTGTTCAGGAAGGACTCGTTCGACTTCGGGGCAGTAGAAAGTGCGCGGGGTCGTCCTCTAGAAAATGTCCAGGACTCTCGGCAAGGGGCACAAATGAAACACCGACTGAGGAAAGATCTATCTGCAAGCAGGGGAGCTGCACTGAAGCTTCTCAAGCGACAATCAATGGCTCGTGCCAAAGCTATGTACCCTCTCTATCAAATTCAGCCGTCTGTGCATCAGTCAACGAACTTAACATCCGCAACATATACAAATGGCGATTCCATTGTTCGTCAATCAATTTTCGTGTCAGCTATTTCGCGAACCCCGAAGACTCGAGACAAACCGTTACCCGTACCGCCTCTGAGGTACAATGTGCTCGGTGAAAATAAAGACCCAGATCGCGATGCCACCGACGTCATCTCGACTGAGAGAGTCAGTAGGCAGCTGCAACCAGCAGGTTCAATCCTAGCAGTATTTACTACACTATGGCCGAGCTTGGATAGTTCTAACCGCACCAAGTTGCTCCTTGGATTCCTGGCAACATTAGCCCATGCAGGAGCTCCTCCAACATTCTCCTATGCTCTGGTGCAAGTCTTTGACACATATTACTTGCCGACAGGGTCCGAGAAGAAGGCCTTGATCTACTCCATGGTTGTTGTTGGAATCGCGGTCGCGGACGGTCTCGCATGTTTCTTCATGCAGTATCTTCTAGGCTCTGCGAGTCAGGCGTGGGTGGATACGCTCAGAATCCAGGCATTACGACGCATTCTCCGACAACCAAAGGCCTGGTTTGATAAAGAATGCAACAACCCTGGAACTCTTATCTCTTCACTTGACAGGAACGCAGAAGAAGTGAAGGACCTTGTGGAACGATTCGCGGCGCAGCTCCTGGTTGTTGCAGTAATGATGGCTGTGGCTATCATATGGTCGCTGTTCTCCTGCTGGAAGATCACACTGGTCAGTCTTGCTGCCTCGCCAGTGCTTTATGTGATGACAAAGTGTTTCGGAAAAGTCTCCAGCCTCTGGGAATCACGATCGAGCTCTGCCAGTGATGGTGTCAACGAGATATTTGTCGAAACTTTCGCCGACATCAAGACCGTTCGCTCGCTCACTCTGGAATCTTACTTCCACAAGAAGTATTGCGATGCAACCAGTCAAACTTTTTCCATCGGCGTACGACGAGCTTTGTTCTGCGGCTTCTTCTTCGGCGTCTCTGACTCCGCCATCACCTTTTTCACGCCCATGATTTTTTGGTACGGGGCTCACCTTGCAAAAGATAGCGAATGGCCTGTTAATTCAATATTTACTGTCTTTGGACTTCTTTTATTTTGTACCGCTAATGCCAGCGTGGTCATTACATATATACCCCAGACCAGATCAGCGACTGATATCGCCACTCGCCTTATTCGGCTGGCGCAAATGCAACTTGACTCTCACGAAGATGTCGGTCTCACCCGACTAGACAGAGACGATCCAGCCACGCTTTCTGGGCCAATCCATTTCATCAATCTGACATTCTTCTACCCGACCCGGCCAGAGGTAGCAGCACTCCGACGATTAAATCTCACCATCCCCTCAGGGCAAACCACAGCCATAGTGGGAGCCTCGGGATCGGGCAAATCTACCATTACGTCCCTTCTCCTAGGCCTCTATCCGCCAACAGCAGATCCTTTCGCCCTTTCTCCCTCGACCCACTGGGAAGGGGGTCCAGCGTCTCTCACCCTATCTGGCCGCGACATTCGAACACTTGACCTCCCTTCTCTGCGCTCTCTGATCGCCATCGTCCCACAGACCCCCGTGCTCCTCCCCGCAACGGTGCGCGAGAACATCGCCTACGGTCTTCCCCCTGATTCTCCCTGGAGGTCAGCAAGCCGCATCGAACGTGCCGCCCGCGCAACTGGGATCCACGACTTCATACAGTCTCTCCCGCAGGGTTACGCCACGGTCATAGGCGAAGGCGGTGGCGGCCTCGGCATCTCAGGCGGCCAGGCACAGCGCATCGTCATTGCCCGCGCCCTCATCCGCGACCCCAAGATCCTCATCCTCGATGAGGCGACTAGCGCACTGGACCGGGAAAGCGCCCAGGTCATCCGAGAGAGCATCGCCAGGCTGAGCAGGGAGAAAGGGCGAAAATTGACCGTGATCGTGGTTACACATGCGAGGGAGATGATGGAGGTTGCGGACCATGTGGTGGTTATGGAGGAAGGCGGCGTGATTGAGCAGGGCTCTTTTACCGAGTTGGTCGAAAAGAGACGGAAATTCTGGGCATTATTGAACGCCGGGGATGATGGTGCGAGTCACACCCGTGAAGCCGGTGAGGACAGAACATGATGAATTTGCCTGGTGGGGAGACTCACTGCCGCTGTGTTCTGTTGTGTTCTGCTCTGATTGTCTGTCGTAGAAGGGTTTAACTGCTCGCTGCTTTATTTTCGCCGTTCAATTCAAGTGATCTTCAGCTGATTTCAATTTCCGCTCTACCTCTATCCATATATAATTTCCATCTCTATACCTCCATCATATAAGCCTCCCTTCCAGTAGTCCTAGCACATGGATGACAGGCGGCCAGTTTCATGGTACCCTATTCTCTTCAATCCAGACCTTGACCGCCGTCCAATTCTTGCATGTATGCAACGCAGCCGGCAACCCGCTGCTGCGATCGTCCACCATCTTCTGGTGTCCCACGTAGCGATGCGGGCTGTCCGGGACCGAAACCACGCCGCCGTCGCGCGTAGGCTCCAGCGTCGTGTCCGCGGCACAAAGGAGTGCTTGTCGGACTATTAAAAGGCAGTACGGGGTTAGTTCATGGCCGGAGAAGAGGATACAGCGGGGGAAGACAGGAAGGGCATGCAGTGGATATCTCACCGTGATCTAGACAGTGGAAGACGTGGGCTCTCTCGTGGACATGAGGATGATGTTCGTGATCATAATCGATTAGAATCTGGCGGATGAATGCCTGGGCACACATAGTGCTTGTGGTCAGCCAAATCCAACCGAATTTAACATAATCCAGTCCAGTCCAATGCGTAGCCATTGTTCGCGGGGGATCTGCTGAGCTTTAGGGAGCTTACCAGGCAGTCTAACTGTCTTACGATGGCAACATCGTAAATCTCCGTATCGGAAATCGCGTGTCCATCTCCATCCACTGCGGAGGCACTCGAGGGCAATCCATATTTCCTCGGATGCTTGACAGCTATCCTCCCATCTCCCATCGGAAACATGCGCAGCCATGCGCGATCGCCTCTGGTTCCTGGGAGCTGGAACTCATATCTATCTGCAAATACTGAAGGGGTCTCACTGAAGGATGGCGCAAAGCTCTGGAGCTTTGGATTCGCCCATGCCGAGCCGTTGGTCTTCCAGCATGCGGACGGCCTTGTCGGGAATGGAGGGATAACCCTATGTCGATAGCTGAACAGAGCGGAAGAGAGGCAAGCCGCCACGAGGAGGATGCCGAAGACAATCCTCAAGGGGAGGCGCTTAGATGTAGAGCCTTCCGGGGGTACAGGGTCTCCTGTATATTCTCCACGGGGTGATTTGGGCGTCCGCGGAATCGCCAGAGAATCCGTCTCGCCACGATATGGTGAGCGAAATCGAATGGACGAAGGCATCTTTTACTATAGAAAGATCCTTGAGTATACCGCACACAGGGATCACAGAGACAGATAAGGGAATTCATTGAATCTTGGCCATCAAGTTAAATGTAGCAGCCGCTACGAGGCTGCCCGAGACCGCATTAGGCCGTTGGAGATTGCACAGACAGCGAAGAATGAAAATGCCAGACAAAGGAACAAAGAGAACGTCTGACAAGCAGCGCGTTCAACCCTGTTGAAAGCGTCCATGAATGAAGTCTGCCGATTCATACACAGCAATAATTGATGCAGGGAAGCCCAAAGGAGCTTTGCAGCAATATCCTGAGCAACGAGTTGCTGCGAACATTCTTCGGAAGGCGAAGGGGCCGACTGGTGGGATCGCAGACACAGAACGAGTCCCGCAGGTTGTCGCGCTTGCTGGCATGAGCAGTCTCCCCATAGTATGAGAGAGTCTCAGTCATGGATTCTATAGTGTACAGAATGCAGAAGAAGCCTTACAGAAGTGAAGCAGAGGCAGAATCAGGAGGTATGGCGACCCCCTTGACATGTTGAGTTGTCAACCAATCATATTGGCTCTGATCGGCCCACCGAGACCGTTACCGCTTTTGGTGTTAGCGTGCCAACCATTCCGAAGTTTAACCTACCAGCACCTTTTCCTTGTTCTAAACAGCGCGAATCTTTCAGCCTCGCAACCCAAAACAACGACACATCAAAATTCCATAAGCTAGGGTGCGGACCATGTCAGACGCTCAGTCCCGCAAACGCTCGAGGTCCGCTGATGGCGCGAAATCCGAGAGCGAGTCCTCTGACGATGACTTCGGGCCGGCTTTGCCATCGTCGGTCCCCCCGAAAAAGAAACGCAAGCTCCCATATGAATCTCTCTACGTGGATGCCTTACCGAAAAGTCTGAGGTATTCGAAGTCATTGATGCACAAGGATCAGCTGTTGGCCGTGACAGTTGCTCCGTCGCCCGCTGATTTCGTCATTACCACTTCCGTCGATGGGGTAGTCAAATTCTGGAAGAAAGTTGCAACGGGGATCGAGTTTGCCAAAGAGTACCGGGCACATGAAGGACGTATAGTGAGCTCCTCAGTCAGCGTCGATGGCGCTTTCTTCGCCACAGCCGGGGATGAGTATGACAGCAGCATCAAGATTTTCGACGTCATTACCTTCGATCTACTTTCTATTTTAAGCCTTGAGAGTCCAGCTTCTTGTATATGTTGGGTGCATCGGAGAGGAGCTTCGCCGATACTAGCTGTCGCTCTAGGCAAGGAGATACATATTTACGATGACCCCGGCAACTCACAGACACCTGTGCAAACTTTGTCTTCCCTCCACAGAGCGCTGGTTGTGGCTATGGCGTACAACCCAGCCTTTGACTGCGTCGTGTCTGCTGACTCAACCGGCATGATTGAATATTGGCAACCAGGCGACAACTTTGAAAAGCCGGATAGTGTTTTCAAAATGAAGTCAGCAACAAATCTGTTTGACTTCAAAAAGGCGAAATCTGCCCCCTGCTGTATTACAATGTCACCTTCGGGCCACCAATTTGCCAGTATATCATTCCCAGATCGGAAGATTCGAGTTTTCGACTTTGCCTCGGGCAAGCTCTATCGGTCATACGACGAATCGCTCGAGACCATCACCTCGATGCAACAAGCCGGGACTGCGCTCCAGAAGCTCGACGAGGTTGAGTTTGGACGAAGGATGGCAGTTGAGCGCGAACTTGACAACCCCACCATCAGGTCAAGAATCAACATTGTCTTTGATGAATCAGGCCATTTCATCGCATACGGTTCACTCCTGGGGATCAAGGTGATCAATACCCTCACCAATCGAGTGATGAAAGCGTATGGCAAGGATGAACCGTTTCGAGCCCTGAACGTGGCCTTGTATCAGGGAGCTCCTCAGAAGAAAGAGGTGGTGACGGTGTCGATGGCTGCCAGCGCAAATCCCCTGCTCAGCGAAGCCGAGGCTAGAGACCCTATGCTGTTTGCGACGGCATATGGCAAAGTACGGTTTTACATGTTCACCAATGACGAAGAGATTAGCAAATCGACCCGCGATGTGCAAAATGAGAAGCCCCGAGTCATTTCGGCCAAGAAAAAGGAAGAAAGGCAGGCTCAGTCAGGCACATCTGCCGTCCTGCATACCACCTGTGGCGATATCCATATCAGATTGTTTCCGGACAAGGCTCCCAAAGCTGTGGAGAACTTTGTCACGCATGCAAGGAACGGCTACTACAACAACACGATCTTCCACCGAGTAATCAGAAAATTCATGATCCAGGGTGGGGACCCACTGGGCGATGGCACTGGTGGTGAGAGCATCTGGGGAAAAGAATTCGAAGATGAGTTTTCCGATCTCAAGCACGACAAGCCATATACGGTGAGTATGGCTAATGCCGGGCCAAACACAAATGGGTCACAGTTCTTCATCACCACCGAGAAAACCCCTTGGTTGGACAATAAGCACACCATCTTTGGACGGGCATACAAAGGGCTGGATGTGATTCATCAGATTGAAAACGCAAAGGTCCGAAAGGAGAAGCCAGAAGAAGACATTAAGATAGTTAATATCTCGATCAGTTAGGGATCGCAGGAAGAACGCGGCCGGCTATCGATGGTTGAGAATCTAACTGTTGCTTCCACCGATAGACGTTGAATTCAAAGTGAAGGCAAGGTGGATTCAGCCTGTAGCCTTACCAGCTACACAGCAGAAATGGACTATTCATAATAACGTGGCCTTTTATCGAACAAACGTGTTTTGCCCTACAGTCGGCCTGACTGGGCATAGTGGGCTAATTGGGACATGGATCCAGCCGCGTCTTTTCATCACCCGACCATCTTCTCCGCACTTTCACTCGCTCCTCACATTGCGATTCGCGAAACTTTTTACTGCTTTACCCACCGGGACATAACTGTCGCGTCCTTGATTGCGCACGGAAGGACAATTCTCGCTGCCATGGTCAAATTGCGTGTTGCCGCGAGGATTCTCTCGGAAGACGACTACCTCAAAAGTCTTCAAGGATCTACCAATTTACCCGTCAAAGGCGAGAAGCGGCTGGTTGTGGTTGTGCGAGAGCCATACAAATGGCAGATTGGAACTCTGGCCCTCGAGGTGCAGAGAGCGTACCAAAGCTGCTACCAACAGTATGCCCTCTGCCCGCTTGGTTGTTGCGCGACAGGGTCTGACTCGAGATCAGGGAGCTCCCGACCATCAAGTACCTCAAGGACAACGCAGACGACTGCGATCTAGACCCTCGAGCATACGTGTCGGATCTCCTCCTCGACGAAGGCAAGGCTCAAATCGATGCATGCGACCAGCGCGTCACCATCAAGGTCATCCTCGAGCAAGGTCGGACCCTGCGAGAAGGATCTGTCGCAATTGGTAGTCAGTTGGACGACCCTGAATATCGAATCCAACTCGAGAAGATCTCACGTCCGCCCGTGCCCACCTTCCCGAGTCTTCCTTCCTCGCTGGGCAAACGTCCATCTCCTATCGGTGGCGAATACCTCTCCACGGCGAACGCGAGCAAGAGACCCCGACAAGTCGAGATACCAGAGACACAAAGAGAAGATCAAGCTCCAATCTCATCGATTGAGCGTGACGACGTCCAAGGGTCACTTGAGTTGGTGGCGGGCACACAGTTTACAAATCCGGATCAAGAGCTGGGACGGCAGCAGACACTCCTCAGGCCTAAACAGGAGTCTCCTAGACTGCGGAGATTACTGCACGATGTCTCTCCTGCGCGGATTGACGAGCTTGAGGAATTATCAGAACAGCCTCCAACCTTTGGGTCAAACAAGAGACCGAGGAACAGGCCGGTATATCCACCAGACTCTCGTGAATCGCGTCCGCCAAATGGTCTCCTCTCATCAAGCGATTCATTTGGGCAGCTGCAGAAGCGCTTACAAGGACCTATTACACCCCCTTCAGAAACGTCAAGAAGACTTTCGACTTCTGCGAACCTGCAATGTCGAGGTACAGAAGAGACGGCAAAATCTGCTGCCCAGTCAGCATCAGCATCGGCTAGCAAGTTCAAGAGACGTGAGACATATCCCGAGTCGGATATTGATGATTCTCAAATGTCGCCACGCTCGCGACAAGCACAACTGAGTAATCGAAACTCAAAGGGCCGATTGTCGCACATTGAGGACCTACAGTCTCCCCGGGAACAGGGAGAAGGCGATAAGTGGCTCAGCATCAGCCAAGCAATGGATGTTCTGGATGATGAATCTGTGTTCGAGGACGTCCGCCCCAGTGTTCAATCCGTGCCAGCGCCGGAGCCCGTCTCGGGCAAACCGAATACAGAGCCAAATGACGAAATTGAAAACAGTATCTATGAAGACGCCGACACGGGATACGACCAGCATTCAGGCCTGGTAGATCCGACGGCGTCCAAATATCCAGAAAGCAAGGGGGCCGCGGAATCTCAGCAAGTAAATGGCGAAGACAAAGAAAACGAACCGTCGCATGCGATGTATAATACGCCCAGCCAGGACATCGTAAAGGGCATGCTTTCTGAAGGTGCTGCATCGAGGACGCAGGGCAACATTCACGATGCAAAGTCGGCAGGCTGGGCAAAGGATGATAACCCTCTTGAGGCTAGACCGGAGGCGAAGAGGTCTCGGAAACGGAAGTCGGATACCTTCAGTATGAATTCAAGCCGGCGAAGTTCTGTACAGGGACCCGCCCAGTCTGTTGGAGACAACGTAGATAAGCAAGCTGAGAAAGCGCCGAAGCCTGGCAAGAAAGCCAAGGCATCGCAGACGACGACATCCGCTCGTGACAGTCCTGGAGAGCAATTGTCGCAGAATCTTCGAGAATCGACGGGGACTCGAACGTCCTTGGATGCTCCGAACAAGAAACTCACGAGGGCACAAAAGAAAGCTGCGGTCACAACACCTGCAAGAAGAAGGATACCAGGGAAAGATTCCGAGGGACCCGATTCTGTGATGTCACGTTCCACAGCGTCCAAGAAAGATGTATCGCTCACGACGCCTACGGAGCGGATCAAGAACCAAAAGTTGCCCGAGAAGCCAGCATTGCCGATGACAGATTCAGAGATGCGTGGAGCCGACTCTTCTCCCAGTATCGTTCTTCGAGCTTCGCGTCAGGACGATGAGAATGCCAATGAATTAATGAAGCCTCTTCCGAACTGGAACTCTGGGCCGGGTGTAGCTGACAAGCCGGGTTCTTCAGTCATGAGTAAAGCAGCTGGGATCGATGCTGATAAACAAACCGACTCTGGAAAGAGTCCACACTTTGGTCTAGGCTTGACTCCCGAAGAGATCAAGACCATGGAAAGCCGCAAAGGCATGACCAAAGAACAGTATGAAGCGGAGAAGAAGCGGAAGCAACAGGAGGCGAAGAAGAAGGCTGAATCACAGAAGTGGCAAGAAATGGCCGCTAAGATGAAGCCCATCCCCGACGTGTCAACAAACAAAACCCCAAGGCCGCAACACCTCGAAACCCCTGAACCGCATCCTGCCATGCCACTGGCGAAGAACACGGCTTCTAAGAATCACTCTGTGGAGGATAATTCATGGATTCTTAAGAGAACAAAAGCAGACGTGACTACTGAGACTAAAGAAGCGGAACACGAGCCAAGAAGACCTAGCGCAGGGAAGGCAAACTCCTCACTGCGCGAGTCCTCCGGCACGAGCTTTTCGCATGTTCAAATTCCCGATTCGAGAGTGCCACCGAAAACGCCTGCAAAGGCACGAGCAAAAAGCCCTTCCGTAAAGCCATCCACGGTCAGCAAGACGCCTAAATCAAGTGTCCAGCCACAATCGACAGAGAAAGCATCATCGACAAACTCTTCTGTGGCTAGGAAATCCACACCAGCACCGATCGCGGAGACCGAGTTATTATCGAAAGAAGGAAAGGCAGCAGCAGCCAAAACCCCTCAACCGAGAAAACCGACGTTAGAAACGGCTAAGCGCCTAGTCGATCTCCATGAGGTGGTCCGCAGTGCAAACAAATCAGCCAGCAAGGCTACAACGGACAGTCTGCTTTCTCGCGTGAACGCGGCGAAACAGAGACAGAAGCCACTGATCTTTAATATTGACGACGATGACGAGGAGAGTGACGACAGTGAAGAGGATGACGAAGAGGAGGTCAAGGTTGTAGCCGCTCGAAAGATAGGTCAGCAACATGAGAACAACAACACGAAAGAGAACAATGACAATGGCAATGATAGTGACGACGATGACTCCTCATCCTCGTCCTCATCGCCATCGTCATCATCGTCATCGGACGGAGATGCGAAGGACGAGAAGAGCATCAACGACGGGAACAGAGCGAGCCAAACGAAGGGGGAAATACTCGGTCGATCTGCCCCGAGTCTTCGAGACAAGAGTGGCCAGTCGGATGACGACGAGAGCGACAGTGACAGCGAGTGACAGCGGTAGTGAGGAAGACGATGCTGAGGATGGTGAATTGCATGCTTGGCCTTACTGGTGTTCGTGTTGGTGTCGGTGTTGGCGCTGGGGCTCCTGGTGCAAGTTTCGCTCGCAAAAAGTCAGGCTGGAACTGGAACTGGAACTGGAACAGGATTGGAGACTAAAACTGGATACTTGTCTGTTACGTACCCTTCGTTGGATGAATCGAATGAGACAGATGGCGAGACGGTGGAGCCGAGCCGAGCTGGAAATGTCGATTCCGTTCTCTCCCACGCCTAGTGATCGAATGAGTTTCTGCTCTGACATACTAACTGGCTAGTTGGTTAGTTTCTAGCATAACGCTGTCTATCTGTACTATCTGATGTCCTTTTCTCTCTTTTCTCTCTCTCGTGTCCCTCGTCACTAGTCATTGCTTTTCAAAGTTCAGGTCATAACCAGGTAATCAATTCTATCCACTGGTTTGAGAGGATCTCCAAGTCCCCTTCCCAGTCCCCTTCCTGTTCGAACATGCCATTCCCATCCGACAGCTCCCACTCCACTCACTGGGTTGTTCGTCTTGAGCGAAGCAGATGGTTGAACTCTTGCCAGCTAACCTGCTCGCGGCCGTGGCTGTTCTTCACCTCATGCCGATGCCGATGTTCTCTTTTCCTCGTTCCTAGTCCAATGCCAACAGGAGGCTAAGGGATCTCAAGTCAGCGCGTGTTTTGCTTGCCTTGACCTAGTGATGTCTTTGGACTTGGAACTTGGCTGCTGTTTTGCCAGGAGGACATTGTGGTGGGCTGGAACTGTGGGCTGAAAACAGGCTCCGTTTTATGGGTAAAAAAAAGCTGGTGACGACTGGGTTCATTTCTTTCATTCTTCATCAATCTCTTCATCGTGCAGGGGTTTCTTCACGTCACCTCCATCATTTGCTTTCCCCGACTCTCGACAACCTGTCGCTTCATCATAGAAGATATCTGGCCCACGTCGCCGGCAAGACGGACCTTGATAAGGTCCAACGTCTCAGAGTATACAGATTCTCTGCCTCCGGAAAGTGTCGTTTTGGGTTTCATAACGATTTGGCGATCGTTGTGCCATGTCAGTCACATCACCGCCATCGCCATCGCCATCATGTCGATTTGATTCGTTGGGCCTGGATCGAGCCTCACTGGCTACAGTCTGGCTCTTCCCCCAGATTTGAAGGGTTGCTTGTCTCTCTTGACACCCTCCTCCTCTTCCTCCTCTCTTGCCTTCGTCGCACGTCTCGTCTCTCCTATGGCGATAGTCTCACCTCAAAGTCTCATCCTAAGAAGACTCGGGTTCGATCGTGTTCCCTGCCACAATATTTGCCCACCCAATCAATCGCCAATGCTTCTCGATTCTCCTACTCAGCGCAATCTTCTCTCCAATCGCCGTACAAGCTGGGTTTGTGAGGGTCAACTTGGCCGCGTCCGCCTTGACACCCATGACCTTTGCGCCCGTCGCCGTAGACCCAATATTCACCATCAATACTTCGTTCTTCGCGAGTTTGGCCACCTTCGCTTGCTTGCCATCCGCCGTTTTGACACCCAACAGACGCCGGAGCAAGAAGTAGTTAACCTCAAGTTCCATGTATATCTCCGGGAGTTGCCCCTTCAAGCCCAGGACGTGACCAACGAGACGGTCGGCTCTGCAAAGGGTTGGATCCACGCGCGTGCCTACGCCGATGAGTCCTCCTGGCACGGCAAATTTCAGATCGTTGTGTTCGGCGAATAAGCTCACCACACGGGACATGATGGGGCGGCAGACGGTCTGACCTGTTGCATCTTTCGTGATGATCCCCGGGCGGATCTCGATTTCGTCGCCGAGCTTGAGCACACCAGTGAGGATGGAACCGCCGGCAACACCGCCCTTGAGATCCTCGATCTCAGCGCCGGGCTTGTTGACGTCGAATGATCGAATGACGATCATATGTGGTGCCGCGCTGAAGTTTCGCACAGGGACGGGGATTTTGGTGACCAGGTACTCATTGATGGCGTCAATGTTGTATTTCAACTGCGCGGAAATGGGGATGATCGGTGACCCATCCGCAACGGTGCCCTTGATGAACTTCAGAATTGATTCGTAATGTGCTTGTGCCCCCTCTTCCCTCATCAGGTCGACCTTGTTCTGTAGGATGATGATATGGTTGAGTTTCATGATCTCGATCGCGGCGAGATGTTCCGAAGTCTGTGGTTGGGGACAGCTTTCGTTTCCTGCTATTAGAAGCAAGGCAGCATCCATGACTGCGGCGCCGGACAACATGGTACTCATCAGAATATCGTGTCCGGGGCAATCGACAAAGGAAACATGGCGAAGGAGTCGGTATGTGCCACCACATCCTTCTCTTTCACAAGGCGGGTCGATTTCCTTTTCAGACTTGTAGGATTTGTAGCAGGTCGGTCTCGGACACTCTGGGTTGTCGCATTTGTAGATTTTCGCGTTGGCATATCCCAATTTGATGGTGATATTTCGTTCTAATTCATTTTTGAATCGGACAGTTTGGACCCCGGAGATAGCCTTGACGACGGTTGATTTTCCGTGAGCCACGTGGCCTATTGTGCCGATGTTGATGGTGGCTTGTCTTGCAATAATCTCGGGCGAGAGAGGAGTGAGTTTCGAGACGTCGAGGTCTTTAGGGTCGGGTTGTTCGGGCAAGACAGGGCGAGGGACTTGCGGATCCGGAACCGCTGCCGAGGTGCCCTTTTTCAGGGCTGATTTAGGTGGCTGATTTGTCTCTTCAATTTCGTCGACGTCGTTCTCATCGCCGGGAGGTGTGCCAGGTTGAGAAAACTCGTCGTCAGATGGCAAGTCACCGTTGGTAGCCATGATTGCAGGTGGTGCAGAAAGCCGGGCGGGGGTCTGAAGCCTCTACTGGGAACCTGGAGCAGATAACTCGTTAACACAAAGCCGTTCTCGATGTCTGTGTGATGATGGACTCTTTTATCTTCGCACGAATATTTCTTGAGGCGAAGGATGTGACTCAGTCGATGTTGCGGGGTGATTCAAGGACGAAATCCTAACAAAATTCAGTTCCTGATGCCAAGATTAGTGAGTCCCGGATTGGGAAACCAATGACGCCGCCCTACTATACAGGGTACTCACCCTCGGCTCACTTTCTGTGTAGGTATACAAGTACAATTGAAGTAGTCCCGGTAGATTTTGCACGTGCCGGCTATGGAGAAGCATCAACCGCCATATATCACCACCCATCCTACAAGCATTATAATACATATGACAATGGTCTGTTCAGGCGGCAATATCCCCCTGCATCAATGCCTGAGCCGCGTACATATCTTTTTTCCTTCCTGCTGTGGGCCCTGCGTCTCGTGGTGGCTGCTCACAGGTTTCCTGCTAAGAGGTGTTCGCGCGAGTTCGTCATTCGGGCGGACAACGATTCGGACTGTTTCACTGTCGTAGCCACTCGGAAGCAGCAGGGCTCAATGAGCGGCAGCTCGTCAGCCTGGACTCTTCATCGAGTGCATAGGTGCCTCAAAACCATCTAGTGTGTCCGGCACAGATTTTGAGGATTCTGGTCATTCCCTTTCCCCACCAAATATCTTGTCGAACAAGCCTCTCGTCTGGGCCTTCCGCTGTAAATTTTCCAGAAACCGACCCTTCTCTTCGTGCGTAGCACGAGGCAGGCCTGCTTGCTTCCTGCGACGACCTTCTTCTATTAGAATCTTTTGAAGCTCCCTTTCGTCCTGGAATACTTCGTCGCCGATCAATTCTCGTCTTAACCGCAATTTGATGTCTTTCTTTGTTTCTTTCTTCTCCTGCTGTGTGATTTTGTGGCCCTTGCGGTCTCGTCTGCGCTGGCGTAATTCCGATGTTGTGGCCTTGTTGACCAGCTCCTTCCTTTCTGCTCTGGAGAGTTGGTAAAAATCCTTTACAGGCTGGTTGGGTTGTTCTCGGATGACGGTAGCCTGCACAGGCGCCCAGAGTCTCCTCATCGTGTGCATATGTCGCGTTTGTTGTTGGACTTGAGCTTGTTTCTGCGTCCGCATCTGCACCTGCTCTGGGGCCAGCTCCTTGACGTCCTCCTGGGCCTGTTCATGGATCTGTTCAGCTGCGGCAGCGGCAAAGCGTCGGCGCTCTTCTTCTTGATGAGCTACAATGCCATCATACTCGAGAGGATTGAGCTTTTTCCATGTCCTCAGAAATTCCAGCGCATCGACCCGATTCGGTATGTACGTAGTCCCGTCGGGGCGATCCTCGGCTCTGCTTTTCGGTTCCATCTCCATGGTCACGAAGGGTGAGAGCTAGTTTGCGACCATCAATTAGTGACTGCACTCCCATAGAATAACTCCAGTATGGGACTTACTGGAAAGTCTTTCGTGTCGGGCATGTTGTAATGTACAGTCTTCCGCCAGTCAATCATATAACGGCCGTATTCGGTGTGAGCGCCCATTGATCCAGTTCGGTTTCCCCGGTAGAATCCACGGCCAACCTGCTTGGTGGTGAAGCGCAGGCGGGCGCATAGTTGAGGCGAAGGCTTGACCATGGTGACTGATGGAGGGTCCAGGCGCCCCTCGCTTTCTCTGTGGCTATAAGCTCATGGACTCCCTGCAACACTGGAGTGCGATGAAGAACAAAATCTGAGAAACCGAGTGTCGTTTGGGGACGAGTGTCATGCTGCCCTAACGCTCCTCCTCCGACTATGGCGGCCGCTTATTGGTCGTCATTTTTCTATTCAACTTTCTGGCATCACTCGCACTCACTGACACTCTGCACTCTGTACATGGCTACGGTTCGTTATTGACTCACGGTGCAGCCACCTCTTTGTACACCAGTATCCCCGTATGCTCCTTGATCTTCCTGTCGACCATGTGAATGCCTCCCCCCGAAACGAATCCGCTGCACATCTACCGCGCCTGCCTGCGAGAATGCTCCTACCTCCCACTTCCGCAATGTCGGGCATACATGAGAAAATTTACCATCGACGGGTTCCGTCGCTGGATACCGCCCAAGGATTGCGTGGGTAGATCTTGCAGCAAAGCCCACTCTGCCGGTGGCCGACATCTTGCACCTGAAAAAGTGACTCGATTGCTCCACCAGGCGAGGAAATTGGCCTCAATCCTCCGACATGCGAACCAAGGATACATTGTCCCACTGGAGAACGTCTTGCGTATGGCCTACGGAAGAAAAGGACCCAGGAAGTATGAACTTCTTGCACAATTCCTAAACCCAGCACTCCCAGCCTCTGAAGGCGGAGCGAGACTCTTGAGAGACAAAATGGGCCAAAACATCCCGACAGTGGCAGATGCCATCTCTCTCCCTAGCTCTGATCTAGGTGGAGATGAATTGCTGGCGGCCGACGTGGAGGAGGAGGATGAGATCCCCAAGGTCACCACGGAAGAGGACACATTATACCCTTCTTTATTTCCTACCATCACCACCACACAGGGCGGCACCTCTGGGCCGTGTACCGAACACCCAACGTCAAACACCTCCGTTCCCGCCGCCCCTCGCCCGCCGCGGAAACCTGATTCTCCGAAGGAGGAAAAATGGAAGCTCGATCTTCCTCCGCGTCTCCTAGCGCTGATTGCATCTCAAGCGAGCGAACAGGTCTACTTCGCGCGCGTCGGCGCCCATCTAAAAGTCAAGTCAAGATTCAACCCACCACAGACAACCATATGGGGAACGCCACTGCCGCAATCACGGTACAAGAATCTGCGCATAAAATGGTACAATCACAACATTAAAGCCGTGCTTCCTCCCTTGCCGGAAGACGAGTATCGAGAGCTCCACGACCTAGTAAGCGGGAAGAAGGAGATGAAGAAGCCTCTTATTATTCCGCGACGGAGGACGCCAGCGCCGGTCTCGGTCGAGGACACAGCACAGAGTCTACTCGAGCGTCAATCCTGTTTGATATTGGAAGGGCCTCAACCCGGCCCGCGCCTCAAGGATTGGCGGAGTGGTCGTCCCCACGAGATCACGCCGCGACTGCTTCGAAGATTACTTTCCCGCGTCGTACTGAAGCAGACCCCACTCGTCAAGACTGCGACACCCGCCACAAAGGCAGCTGCGGGGGAACTTGGATTAGTCTTCTACTGGGACGACGGTATTTCGGTGGACGAGATGGGGAAGAGTGAGCAGAAGATGTCGAAATCCTTGGGAGACAGGCAGGCCAGCCTTTTGTTTGGGTGACGAGGGAAATGAACTGGTAGCTAGGAAACGCCCATGTCAAAACAACTGCAGTACGTCGGCGACATTCATATTGGAAACGGCTTTTTCTACATCCTCTATTCGGCTGAAGAGGACGGTCCGGATTGATAGGTTGAAGAATTGGACAAAGATGGCGGCAAGAAACGGGAGGGTCTGGATACACCTGGATTGGCGAGAGGCGAAAGTATGCCGCACCGGAACTGGCAAACTAAGGTTCAACAGGAGACTGTATCAGCTCGCCTCACTCCCGCTAGCCAAACTTGGTTCACATAATCCTGTACCGTGTGTGACCCAGATACTCCCGTGAATTCAGCGCGACACCTGTACCCTTCTTTTCCGACCCCTATCCCTGCCCATTTCCACCTTTACAAATTGTCGTTTGCCGGCCGTCTTGTACTTCCTTTCCAGCCACACAGCGAGCCCAGATCTCCGGTCACCGCTCTTTTTTTTATGGCGGCGCTCCTCCTAGCAGAGCGCTCAGTGCAATGTACCACGTCAGGGATGCTCCACCATCGATCCAGCCCATGTCAAAATTAGGCTGGGTGAAGAAATTGTACGCTGCTGTCGGATTAATGATCGCCAAATTCGCATATACAATACCTGAGCATCGTCAGGACCACGCGCCGCTAGAAAGTCCAGGTTACGCTCACCTTTCCAGCCACCAGTAATGTCTGTAGCCTGACGAACTGCACCGTCCGCAAAGTATGTGATCCATTCCTCTGTTACGAATTGCTCTGTCAAGGCCTGGTTAGTCTAGGGCGCGGCTTCGATCGCAGGAAGCTTTTACCAGTCCGAGTCAACGTGGAGAAAGGCATAAGCGGAATCATGTGGATGCTGCAAGACATCAGTAACTTGGCCTGCGAAAACTGAAGAATACGGGTGACATACCCCTGAATGTAGCTTAGATCAGCGCCAAAATAGGTGACATGATCTGCTTTGTTCTCAAACAAAATGCCGGTGACTTTGTTGCCAATAAAAGGCGCTGGCTGATTGGTGTTGTTCGATGTCATTAGGAAATAGTTCTGCAGACTCCGTGCTAGGACAGAAAGCATCAGATTACCACGAGCTTCCATGGAGGCATCGCCAATTGTTTTGCCCCACATCTTTAGCCCGTATGCAAACATGGCATCCTCAGAAGAGGATTCTTCATCCTTGCCGTCGCCAGATTCAAAAAGCCCTTTAGCCCAAGAATGACCATGATACCAATCAAAGGATCGGAAAACCGGGAAATACTGGTCCAGAAAACTGGGGTTGGAGACATCGCGAACCAAGGCGTTCACATAGTCCTTATTCTGGTTGAGCCACGCAGGGTCGAGGTAGCCAATGACAGCAGCGGCGTGGAGGAAGTAGCCATAGTGAAAATGATGGTCATTGTAGTACGAATTGCCAAAGTCTGCACCAGGGTCGCCTGTGACATAGCTGGCTGATGACACGAGACCCTTCCAGTCTGTGTCGTAGATTAGCGGGTACTGCTGCCGATTATTTGTGAAAACCTCAAAGCAACTTTCGAGCTCTAGTAATGCGGCGTTTGCCAGAGCTTGCTGGTTCGTGAGATCATGCATAGTGTAAACAAGCTGCGCGAATTTGCTCAGAGCTTTTCCACTGTAATACATGCTATTGAGGTTCGTTTGGGCCGACATATTTTGAGAGGCTTCAGTTGGAGAAATGTTTTGAATGACGGAAAGCGCTGCGGGAGAGAGGGAAATCGTGCCTTGGAAGTCCGTGGGATGTCCTGGTCGCCAGGGCGCAAATCCAAGTGAGACTGGGAGATTGTCCTCCTTCAATACCCAGTAGTCACCCACAACAGCTGTCGCATTGCCTTTGGTCGTGGTGGCTAGTTGTATGCCTGTCACATTACTTTTGGTATTGAAGTCAAATGACTCACAGTGATGAGGCAGGGCAAACATGAGGAGAGTCGTGTTGCTCGAACAAGCGCCCCCTTTGGACCACGATAAGCTGTACTGAGCAGTCGTATTCTGTGCAAAGCCGGCAATATGTCCAGCGGTTGGATAAGCACCCGCCGCCTCATCATAGATTGACTCAAATTGGTCGTCAGGGAGCTTCGCAATTTGTATATCGCCGTACCAATTCGGCAAGCCTCGGAGTAGCGTACTCGAGACGAGCTGAAAGTTGGGGGTGAATCCATTGGCCGGCGTAGCATATATCAGCCACACTTTTCCGTCTTCTAAAGTAACCTTGTATTTGAATATGCCTGGTTTCGGTTCACCCGCTGCGGCAACACTGCGGAAAAAGATGCTGCTTTGTATCGCCGGTTGGAGATTGGTATATTGCCCAGTGACAAATGCCATACCTTGGACCACTGGCATTGTGAGCACTGAAGGGGAGCCAGCTGATGGCCGAAGATGAATATTTGCCGAAAATGCTAGCAAGGAATCCGCAGTCAGAACTGTGTTTGAACCAAATTCAACGGCAGATAGGATCAGTGACTGAATGCCAATCCCATTGATGTAATATGAGGCTGGTCCGCCTGGGATAGCAGTATTGTTCGGCCCAAAAACCTTCTGGCTATTTTCAAGATGAGATATAGCCATTCCCCAACTCAAGGCATTACCGGCCCCCTTGCTCCAAGTTAGTGAGTAGGGCATCACAAAGCTGGGGGAACCTTGGGAACCCAGCACGAAGTTTTGGTAGAATTTGTTTGTCTCGACGGGGCCGTAAATATCAACAATCCCAAGCCGCGAAACCGGATGGCCACCTCTTTGTTCGATGTTGTTGGGAGGTTGCCCCAGGGCAACGGGCTGAAAAATATCCTGTCCAGAGCAGGCCATGCTCTCGTAGCAGGTCGGATTAGTCGTGGGGAGAATTGAGATCGAGCCGAGAGCAGTAGTCAGGGTCGTTTCAACCGTTCCAGTCACTATTGTCGACGCAGTCAACGTGGTCTCGACGAGTGCTGTTCCAGTTGTAGTAAACACCGTTGTGCCTGCTGATGATGTTGCTACAACGGACCCATCGGCAGTAATAGTGGTGTTGAGGACTGTGACGGCAGTTATAATCGCGGTCGTCTCAACGACAACGGTTGTTACAGTCTGCGTAGTCGAGAAGCTTTCGAAAGTTGCCAGTGGCAATGTGATGGTCTCAGTCACTGTACTTGTCGAACTAAATGCTGTTGAATTCCCAAAAAGAGCAGTGCCGTTCAGGGGCTCTAATGTGGGTGAGGCGACAGTTTGGATACTGGTGGGAAAGGGCTGTACAGGAGGATTCCCTTCGGTTTCAAGCGTCGTGATTAAAGACTGGATTTATTAGTGACCTAAAATATTGAGGATAGTAGTGATAAGAAAACCTACTCCAGTTGTGTCTGGGAAGCTTTGGCTTGCGGATGTCACTGTTGGAACTTGCGAAGATGGTAAGGCGGTGATGGTGATGGTTTGGACACTCAGCTGTGGATCGGCAAAGGTGATAGCAGATGAATAGCTTTGTGATTCAGTGTCTCCGTCAGAGGCAACCAACATATCCTTGGAATATGGGCCAGCGTCTGAATCTGTGCTAACATCACTAACAGTTCCTGCCGGCGGGGGAGTAAGTAGATCAGCTATCGCCCACGTGGCACCTGGAACCACGATCGACCTCGGCGAAGAGGTTATGGGGCTACTGCCATCGGGATGCAAAGTGGGTTGAAGGTCGTCAGTGATAAGGGCTGCATCAGCACCTGGATAATTGGAAGACGGTGTTAGTAATTCTGCAATGTAGAGATCTTGATCGCCGCGACCGCATTCAGGATCCAAATATCTTGACGGACCGTAAAACCGACGAACGGGCGAGGCTGAAGCAAACAGCACCTGCAATATCGTTAGCAGGTGACCCCATTTAGTAGGCATGGCGGCAGAGGGGAGAATAAGTTGTATTCGTCTTCTCAATGGGTCAGCCCGCATCCCAGAACAAAACGCACGCCAAAGTGCAAAGGTATTGTCGAGGACGGGAGAAACCTGTGCCGTTTGGACGGTGCAGAGTGTTCCTCTGCTCCTGGCGTTCACGTATCAAGGGATAGAACGAAATCACAAGGATTGTGCTCTTCAGCAGGTGAAAGACAGTACAGAACGTGAGAGCAGGTTGATAAGAGGGGAAGGAGAGGAGTCGTGGGGAAAACAGTTTTCCATATTGAGATAGTATGTGATGGGGGAAAAGGAGAGTCCAGGCATACCAGAGCGGCACTGGTAGGCTTTGGCGCGAGCATGCACGGCGAAGAAGACGATCCGTGCGCCTGCCTGGCTGAGAGGGCTAGAGCTTTGAGGCGAGGTGAGACAACGGCAGGACTTCTGGCCAGGAATACGAATAGGAAACAGAGAAAAGAGATATCCGATAGCTAGGAATGAGGGTCGAAATGATAAATTGATAGACCGGGGCGGATGTAGAGTTCAAGGAGACGATACTCTCGAGGGACGAAGAATTGGAGAGAGCAGGCGGCGCAATTGTGCCGTGGTTTGAGATGTCGTCCATTGTTGCTTCCTGCATAAAGAAAGTCATCTGGAGGGGTCTCCTACCTATGCAGATACTGCGTTGAGATGGAAAGACCAAGGGTAGTAACCCCGATGATAAATGGTGTTGAGTGTCCCAGGAGTGATATAGCGAGAGGAAGGAGGGAGGAGATGGAAGCAGGCTTTGGGTAGGGTAGATCACGTGGGAAATGCCAAGAATCATAAACTAAATCTCCGACGATGAGCCGAGCCAGTTCAGACTTCCGACCTCAATGAATTGAACGGTCACAATGTGGATTCTTGTCATCGATTCTGCTCTTCCTCCCTGCTGCTCGGGACGTATCCCTAAAATCCCTACGCCAGGGGTCGTGCCATCGGCCGGATGATGCCCTGCTTAATCAACACTCGCGGCTTCGTGCCATCCTGGAATGTCGTCTTTGTGGTCCATTCAGGCCCCAAGGGCAGACGAAGCGACCGTTCATACTGTTGTCGTGACTCGAATGGATGAGGGAGTTCGCTGGCCAAATACTTCCCGTTCTTCTTGACACGCTTCTCGTTGATAATGACCTTTTCCAGGCGGGCATCTTGTCGCTTCTCTTCCGCCACACCCTTCACCGTTGTCAAATACCGTCCTTTGACCCGCTTTTGAGCTTTCTTGCTGATGCCTTCTCCTGTCCAACTTCCCCACCCAGGAAGGCCGTCGTCAACGACTTGGTCCCCTTCTTCCTCCACGGTTTCTTTCTTTTCTCTGGCAAACTCCCGTTGAATTTCACCCGAACCTGCAAAGATGGCTTGTGCAAGTGCGGCTCTCTCATCCTGTTCATTCTCGGACTCGGACGGACTAGTATAGCCATCGAGGTGGCTCCGTGGCACCCGTGTTGTCTTCTTCAATGACTCTCCTTCTTTGTTGGCGAGTCGGGGCAAAAAATTCTGGCTTGACAGGTTGTTGTTTGTGTTGGAACTTCCTGTCCGCTTCGCACCCGGGCGCTTCAACGACCGAGTCGAGCTTCGGTCTAGTTTAATTCCAATTTCCAGCGAAGTGGCCGTTGGCGCATTGTCTTTCAATCCTTCTCTTTGATCTTGATCCCGTATATCTTCAAGCTCCGCCTCCGGCTCGGGCTCCTCGAACTCGCTCTTGGAAACACGAACTTGAGGCTTCACAGGAATATCTCCACCGGCCACTCCAAACTTTTGACGGCCCATCGGGGCGGCGTCCTCGAGATGCCCCTGACTCACCGATTCCACTTCGTCGCTGTGGAGACTGCGCCTTATCTTCCGGATTTCTTCTTCATTAACAGCTTTCCTTGCCGCCTCTGCCTTTCTCATGAATGCCATCGACCCCAGCCTTGTCTCGAAAGTATCAACTTCAACGCGCTCGACCTCATCGAGCCTAGTTTCTAGGTTTTCTCTCTCATCATCCGTCCCAGAGAAGCCTTCGAAATCAGAAGATTCTGAACCAGAGTCGTCCGAACCAGCACTGGCCTTGCCGTCAATCCGCCTGCGAAGTTCTTCGTCTCGCCTGGCAAGGTCCGCTACTCCATGCCTAGCCTCCTCATCCCAGGTAGCCCTTCCTGTAGCCTTGACAGTTTTGGCCCATTTACTCTCTCTGTGGCGGGCGCCCATCCGTTCTTCCGCTCGTCGACGCTCGTTCTGCTCTCTCTCTTCCTCCGAATCAATTAAGCCTTGCGCTGCCAGCAAGCTTCTATGCTCCTGACTAGCATTCTCGCGCTCTTTGCGGTGGATGCGACGATACGCCTTACTTTTGATCTTTTTGATCCGTCGTGCTCGGATTTCTTCGCGGAACATGAGATCCCGTGCCCGCCGCAACTCCGCCCTTCGGGCTTGAACTTCCGCCAGTGGCATCTTCTTCTCGTGCAGTTCCTCAAAGGCGCGTTCCTGGTCTTCCTGGGATCGACTGTCTCTCGACTGCATCCCACTTTCCATCATGATATTCCGGATCGCCGATTCGAGTGAAGTCATAGGCTCTGTAGTAGAGGTTGGCCCAAGTTGCTTATTGCTCAGCATGCCAGCTACTGCAGCATCAACAAGGGGGAATGAGAGGTGCTCGGCGCGTCGATTCTGCTTGACCGTCTCGATCCACTTGCCCAACTCCTTTTTGGTCTCCTCATATGCTGCAGAACGGTCAAGGCGATCCTGCTGCCTTTTTGCGAGTGGAGGTGCGAGTCTGCCCGGAATGCCACTTTTATAGGCTTCGTGACCCCTCCCGTCACTGTTCTGTAGGATTTTTAGAGACTGTCTCTGGTGGGGGTCTTTGACATATCGTAAAAGATCGGTAGATGGCATTTCCGTAGAGCCGAGACCGAATTGCGATGGCTTATTTGGCAAGCTTTGGAGATGTCGCCGTTCAACGACCGTCTGAGTTTTGCTACCGTTTGCCAGCCCTTCAACAAAGTTCAGGAGCCTTGAATGATCGCCTTCATCGTCTGAAATGGACAATTCAGATTCCGCATCACCTTCAGCGTGAGATATCTCGTCATCTGATTCTGTATCATCGTCGAGTTCTGAGTGGGAGGAATCGTCGCCGTCGCCAGCATCATTTGTGAGGTGCGTTCGATTTTTTGGGCGCCTTCTCGAGACTCCCACTTGTTCTTGATCGTCCATGTCCCAAGCTGTGGCTAAGTCCACGGCCTCATCCCCGAAGTCATCATCTGGCTCGTCATTGGTGTTCTTGTTTTCTTCACCAGTCTTCCCTTCGTCATCGAGCTCAAGAGACGCAGCACCGCCCCGATGGTTGGGCTCCGAGGATGTGGTAGCGCTTCCACGAAATGTAAAGTCTGCAAACCTCTCTTCATCACTTGCGCCAAAAGCCTCTTCGCTTTCAATATCACTATCCTCATCCTCCTCATTTACACCGAGATGCCACCGGTTGCCCTCGAGGTCCGAACCTTCCTCATCTTCTTCAACCTCGTTTCCTGCTGTTGTGGCAAGCTTCCTTCTCTTCGATGACCGCTCATCCACATCCACCCTGCTGCGTGAATCGTCGAACTCATCGTCGACCTGCCCGAGACGGTGTTGTCGAATTTTGAACTCATCAGGATGTTCACGCTCCGCAATCTCGAGTGCGTTCAGTCTGCGATTTCGGGCAGGCTTCTTCTTGGGGCCAGCATTCAACCTGCCGGTTTGCAGCGGTCTCCCGTGCGCTTGACGAGGCATAACGTTCTAGATAACGAAAGACTTTGGGCACCGGAACCGATGGCGCCCTCGATGTTGTGTGCGGAAAAATATGCTATTGTGCGGAGATAATAATTTTTTTGGCGGAGATAACTGACCTTGGCGACGGTCTGGAGAATCGTCTTTGATCATATGTAACCGAGTGTGGAATCCTGGTACAAATTAACGGAAGCTCGCAGCCAGCGAGGGTAAAGCGAGTTACAGTGACCGTTGAAGGGGCTGCTATGCCTTTGACTTTTGTCTATCTGTCTATAGAGAGAGGAGAATCGGAAAGTATCAAACATGAGTGAATATGGAGTCTTGAGGATTGTCCCGAGAAGGCCTAGTGTCCGGCGTGCGATATCATGTGACATGGGATTCTGCATTGAAAGGACCATCTCGACCTCTCGGCGCACAGAAAAGAGCCTCATAGTTGTAAGTATCCGCGGGGGAGGAAGCAGAGCAGAGGAGGGAATCAACATTGACACTAGTCTGGTAATTCGAAAAAGCCAACGACGTCCCAGACTCTTGTAGAGCGGTGTGTTTCCCGTCCTATCTGGATTCATCCTCGCTACCTGACTACGCAGGCGCAGGTTTTTCACAAGCATAGTCCATTTGACCGCTCACACCTTCTGGCTTGTCACGACGTTACTATGGTGCATGTTGTGGCAAGTCGGGATCCGTGGTCATGTCCCTTATATTATGTGGGCTGTATCTTCCTCGGCCTTGGGATAACAGAGGTTAACAGACCTCCAATAGCAGCGTGCGGTCGATTTCAACGGTCTCAAGGATCGGGGAACAAAGAGACACTCACCGTGGAAGAGGAGTGATCTTCCTTCCACATCCCAAGTTGTCCAGCTTAGCCGCCATCCACCCAAATTCCCCGAACCTGATGGGGTTTTTATTAGACGTGCCGACTGACCAACCTCGCGCCTCCTTTAAACCATTTGCTCAGAGATGTCTTCGGGAGTCCCGTCCGATCTTTTGCAAAGCCCTGACCGTTGGAGCGGGCCCGGAGGCATTCGAAGCGCTGAAAACTCGACTGCCACAGAGATCAAGAAACATTCGATCTAGCGGATAGACAGCTGCGACAACTTGGGGGGCGAATTGTACGCAACCACAATGAAACATCAGCCAGGAGCAGCACGTGAAATCCCAGCTTTCCCTCCTGTTTCTGGTCTGCTTGCATATGCCGCTTAGCGAAACGACACGAGGGCTAGTAGTAAAGTTGA